ATTTTTAGGCCACCAGGCCGGAGACTCAACCCATGTAGTCAGCCATGTGGGATCTAGCCTCCTTAACTGCCACACCTCCTGCTGGCCCTACAATGTGACTTTCTTTTTTGGTTTACTATTTGACCAACGAGGGGTGTTACGCATTTTTGCTTAGAAAAATGTGTCATGACTTTCCCAGCAACCTAATATATTTTTTAACAGTTGAATCACAATCTGCCTTCCTGTAGCTATACCGTTGTGTCCTGGTGCCATTTAGGCACTATGTGGACCTTCTGCTCTCTGCCATCAGATACATGAAATCTCTTTGGTTACTTCTTAGCCCATGGTCTCTGTCATTGTTTTATGGCACTTGCCACAACTGACTGGCCCTCACCCCAAGCCTGTGGTGCCCTGCATTCTCAACTTCGCATTCACAGGTGTCCTCCCTGACTCCTTTCCCCATCCTTCCCCTCATCTCCTGAGTGGGAACACGCTCAGGTCCAGTCCTGAGGCTCTGACTGCCCAGGGAGCCCATTGAGTACCACGCTGTAAGTGCTCACCATGTACTGACCAAGTCGAGATTCTCCAATCTGTCTCCCTCCCCATCCTAGAAAGGAAGCTACAGAAATTAGGTTTGCTCACATGACTGAAATGTACATCACTGAATTCACCAGTTACTCTATTCACTTATACTTCATGATCCCACACCACAGTCCTTTCTCTTCCATTCTCCTCTCAGGATTTTGAGCACGCACGCACACTTACCTAACGTAATTTTCAAGCCATCAGGTCTGGGACTCGAACTGTGTAGCCAGCCATGTGGGATCTAGCCACTTTAGCCTTTCCACCACCTGCTGCCCCTACTCTGTGACTTTTCTTTTTGATCTTTACTATTTTGCCAGGAGGACTGCTTCATTGTACTCTGAGTCATCCCCTCATGAGCACCCCTTATGCCAGGTTTGTGATAGAAATGCCACAGCTCAGGCCAGCCAGTGGCGTAGTGGTTAGGGCTGCTGGATCCCACATGGCTCACTGTGTAGTTCAAGTCCTGGGCCTGGTGGCTTGAAAAATCACACTGAGCGTGTGTGCATGTGTGCACAAAATCCTGAGAAGAGAATGAAGAAGGGATTGTGTCATACCTATCCCCATATGCAGGGCTGTATGCTTTCTCTCCTTTTCTCTCTCTGTCTCTTTGAGTGAGCACACATCCCCTGTAGCAAATTTTTTAGAAAGAGAAAAAAGAAATGTCGTAACTCTTGCTTGGCCTTTTCCGCCCCTTACTCTTTGAGTATTAACTCTTAGATTTATTCAAAAACTAGAAGTAGGTTCTTTAGTTCTTAAGTAACTTTGGGATAGAAAGAGACTATTCTCAAAGTATTTTGATAAATGGAACTTCAGCATTTTCTCCTGTGATGAAATGGATGAATATGTGTGTACAGACATTATTATTGTTTTATATATACATATATGTGTATTTACTTTGTTTATTTTATTAGATTAAAGCATCAGTACTTTCCTGACCGAAGCTCTCATTTATCAACTATGGAAATGGAACAAGAAAAAATGAATATAAGCAAAGAGTTGAGTCCAGATTCGGCTTCATACCGCTGCTCAGCCTGTCATGGAGATGAGACCTGGAGTTACAATCACCCCATCCGGGGCCGCGCCAAGTCTCGCAGCTTGTCTGCCTCACCTGCCCTGGGGAGCACCAAGGAGTTCAGGTACCACCAAGAGGTCCTTCCTCTTTTTCCCCCATTCTCTCTAATTTTGTGATATGATTTATTAAAAGTTATAAAGAATTCTTGTAGGTAATATACATTGATGTATATGTAATGTAAGTATATGATGTATATGATGATGTAAGTATTGATTGGTGTGATTTCTGTCCAGAGCAGGTACTGGTCCTATGTCTGAGCAGGCAGGGATTAGCCTGGTTTATAGGAGACTGCTGAGAACATGTTCCCAGGAGGCATATTTGAGACACAGGACCTTGCCATATTGTTCTTGATCCTTCTGTATTAACACAGAACTACCTAGCAAGAGCAAACACTGACTTTCGATGTTTGAATAACACGAACTTGATGAGGAAATGTGTTTGCTCTATAGAAGTTGTCCCAGGTATGAGAGGACATCACCTATGGGGTCTTGCTCACTGACAGGTAAGGGCTGGCTCTCTGAACAGTACACAGGCTGATGGAGGCCAAGGTGGAATGTGGCCCCAGGCACAGGCCCAGCCCTCTCATCCTTGCCCTAGGAGTTGGGCCTGGCTTGCACTTTCCAGCATGCCCACAGTGCATGCTCTTGCACAATGTCACTTGAGTATCAAAGCTTCCATGAAGGCAGCCTGGCTAGCACAGACCTGCAATGGCATCTGGGGATATCCATCTCCTTTTTGGTGACAGTAAATTCGTGAGTTTTAGGTGGAAGCTTGCCAGAGGCCAGTTTTGCCTCTGAGACAAGGGCCATGGGGTTTTTGTTTTGTTTTGTTTTGTTTGTTTTGTTTTGTTGGGAAAAGTCATTTTTAAAAAGCATGTAGTCTCATTAGGTGAGATGGAGGAACCTACAAAGCCCCTCACTTGGTGGGTAGCAGAAGGGAATGAGGTGGTCCCACAAGCTTTCTGTGTAGAAAATTATTTTGTGAGCCTCAGATATACAAGCATGGGCAGCTGCAGCAGAGTGGCTTCTCTTGAATATGTTGTCATGCTAACACTGTGGTTCATTGTCCTATATTCCCAGGCCACCACCATGCTGTGATTGCTTGCTCTTGATAGAATTACTTTTGATTTTCTCGGGGTTTTTTTGGGGGGGTGCGGGTTTCAGCATAGCACACATGCTGTTTCTGTTTCACAGAGCATTGAATCTGATGATAATGGCCATGGGATCACAGGCAACCTCTATGGTGACAGATACCATTAAGTGGGAAGGAGAGAAATGCCCAAACATACCAACTAGCCTCTCCTTTGAGGAACAAAGATTAAATGTAAACATCAACTTAGAAAAACACATTATTTTCTACAAGCCCTAAACTACATTTCCAATAACCTTTTTTTAAAAATATAATTATTTTATTTAACTTTTTTTTTTTTTCAAAGTAGGTTTTTGCTATAGGGTGTGTGCGCTCACCAGAAAGACAGAGACAAAGAGACAGAAAGCAAGAAATCACCCTGCAGGGGATGGCCATGCCACAGTCCCTTCTCCTCCATTCTCCTCTCAGGATCTTGGGCACGTATGTACACGCCCCCAGCATGAGTTTAAGCCACTGGGTCCAGGACTCGAACCGTGATCGACTACATGGGAGTCCAACGACATAGCCATTACGCCATCTGCTGGTCCCAATTTATTTTTATTTTTAATTTGACCAGAGAGGGACAGAATGAGAGAGAGAGGGAAAGTAAGAAAGCAAGCCACCAGGTCTGGGATTTGAACCGTGGTCAGCCATGTGGGAGTCTAGTGCCCTTAACCACCACACCACCTGCCACCCTTCTAGTAATCTTTTAAGTTCCAAGTAACTAAAATTTTTATTTTGCCATGAACTCTAATTTTTTTGCAGATCTGCGTAAAGCAAGTAAACTTGGGGCTAATAAATAGTATGGTGGCTAAGGCACTAGATTTCCACATGGCCAATCACTATTTGAGTCCTGTACCCAGTGGCTTGAAAATCACTCTGGGCACTTGTGTGCATGTTGTATACCCAAAATACCAAGAGGGAAATGGAGAAGGGATTGGTTGGAGCATGGCCATCCCTCCTGGGGGCTGATTTCTCATTTTGCCTGTCTTTGGCAGGCACATGTACCCTATGGCAAAAATGTTAATTTTTAAGAAATAAGATAAAAGAAAGAAGGGCAGAAAGCTCATACAGTCTTTTTTTTTTTTTTTTTAGAGAGGTTTTTGCTATAGGGCATGTGCGCTCGCCAGTCAGACAGAGAGAGACAGAAAGCAAAAAGTCACACCGCAGGGGGGATGGCCACACCGCAATCCCTTCTCCATTCTCCTCTTGGGATCTTGGGCATGCGCACATATGTGCCCGGCATTAGTTTAAGCGACTGGGTCTGGGACTCGAACCATGGCTGACTACATGGGAGTCCACCGACATAGCCATTACACTAACTGCTGGTCCCAGTCTCTCTCTTTTCTTTTCTTTTTTTTTTTAAGAATTTTTTAATTTTATTTATCCATTTATTTATTTATTTAGAGATTAACAGAGAGGGACAGCGCGAGAGAGAAAGTGTAAAAGCAAGCCACCAGGTCTGGTACTCAAACCACAGTTGGCTATGTGGGAGTCCAGTGTCCCCAACTACACATCACCTGCCGGCCCCCATACTTAGTCTTAAAAGACCACTTTCAGTGTCAGCTGTGGTATAGTCTTTAGCCAGACACCAAAACTCTCTTATAGGTTGCCTATACCTTATGAGACAATAGAAAATCTTTTATTTGCATTGGGATTTGGGCCATGAAATAGGAGTTAACAATAAAAGCAAGTTTACACTCCATGTTGGGCTGGTTTGTGACAGTATTTATGGTATATAATGAGACCATGAGGCCATCATTAGCTGGCTGAGGCGTCAGCTGATGTCTTGTCACTGTGGGAATGTCTTGAGCTCACATAATGAGGACAGTCATGAGGCTACCTCAGCCCGTTGCTTGAGTGGGTGTGGGATCCCCAACCATTATCATCCCCAGGACATGTGCTAGGTGTGGTACTTTTGTTTAAATGATTCAGTTGTGCTAGGTATCTTCAATAATTAGTAAAAGTTGGGCTGAACATGAATATCTTTTTTGTTGATACACAATTCAGAATAAATGTTTATTTTTGTTAGAGAGTTTTAATCCAGATTATTTAAAGATGGCTACTAAGGTCTGGATTTCCACGTGAACCCCAAGGCTGGTACTGAAAGACTTGCTGAGAATTGCTACGTGAATTCAGATTCCAGGCGTTCACCTGTCATTGGTTTGGTTTCATTGTTCTAAGGAGCATGCCCAGATGTGCTTCTGTGGATCTTCAATTATTGTTACATGACAAATGGACAACATGTGACGCTCTCATGCATTACCACTGGCCAGGGTGGAGTCTTCTGGGACTGTCCTATGGATACTGGACAGACAGTGGTGTCATTTGACTTACACATACTACAAATATTATACATATTTCCTAGAGTCTGACATGGTCTGTCTCTGTGTCTATTGCTATTTACACTGCTGGCCATAGTGGACGCTCTGACTGACAGCTCCTGCTCTGTAACCTCTCCCTATAGGAGAACACGCTCTCTACATGGACCGTGCCCAGTGACCACTTTTGGACCAAAGGCCTGCGTGCTGCAGAACCCCCAGACCATCATGTAAGTCTGCTGGGGGCACAGAGGCATGGGGAGGGAGTGTATGTGTTGTTATCGTAGAATCATTGTACCATGGAAGATTCTGACACCCAGAGCTAGAAGTGTATTTTTTAAGTTATTTCAAGTATAAGCCACAAAGGCATCTTCACTAAATCCAGGAGCCCAAGGCTTCTGTTAGAGGACTTCAAGAAAGTGTTTGACAGACAAGATGAACATCGTGGCCAAAGGGATACCAGGTGGCCTAGAGCCCACATCCCTGCCTGTGGGCCAAGGGTTCTGCACCTCAGCTATAGCAGGGTTGTATGGGCATCAACATAAGAGACACAGTTACTTTTTTGTTTCTAACAGTAGAACCCCAGAGGAAGCTGACAGTATTGAATCCTAATTCACTTAATGTGTTTCTTGAGTTTCTCCCTTAATTATTTCAAAAATATAGACACATCACATAGACTTTTTGTTTTCAGTCTGACTACTTGTTTAAAAGCTACTCCACCTTGGAACCAGCAGATGGCATAATGATTACGTCACTGGAACTGGACTCCCACGTAGTACATAGCGGTTCAAGTCCCAGACCTGGCAGCTTAAAACTCACGCCTGGTGCGTGTGCCCAAGATCCCAGGAGGAGAATGGAGGAGAAGGGATTGCACCATGACCATCCCCTCCGGGGATAATTTCTCACTTTCTGACTCTGTCTCTCCCTATCTCTCTGGCAAGGTCACGTGCCTATAGCAAAAATCTCTCTCTAAAAAAAAATAAATAAACCCAAAAAAACAAGATACTCCATCTCTCCATCTTAGAAGGAGATGAGTGTCAGGGCCTCAAAGTGAGTCTTTCCTGGTGTTGACAATGCCCAGGAAGAAAAACTATTTAAAAATGTAGCAGTTTGTGTTATCTCATTGTTCTCTCATTATTAATAATTCTCCATTAATCCTTCTGTGTAGTAATTAATGATTCCAAAAGGGTAAATGCTTTGTTAATATGTTCTGTATGGAGGTCTAGCTATAGTTTTGTTTTATGGGGAAAAAAACGAAAATGGTACATCTGAAATTATTGGTTTGTATTTTTTAACTGATAATTTCATCTCAACTCCATGAGTTTTATTTTGTACCTTGCAAATATCTTCATTGCTCCTTCTTCAACAAAATCTTTGTTCTTTTTGCCTCTGGAATTGGCACCTCAGGCCTTTGTGCGGAAACTCCTCTCCTACCCCAGGTCTTCCTTTGAGGAGTCACGGACATTCTGCAAAGAGTAGATAAGTGCAAGTGCCACATACTCAGGTGTGCTTCTGCGAGGAGGTGTTGCTTGCTGTGACTGTGAGGGCTGTTACTGTGATAAAAAGATACTGTTAATGTCAGATAAAAAGAGTAGCTTGCATACATAAGATGGAAAGATCACCTTTTTTCCTTTTTTTTTTTTTTTTTTTTTTGAGAGCTTTTTGCTATAGGACGCATGCGCTCACTAGAAAGAGAGATAGCAAGAAATTACCCTCCGGGGGGATGGCCACGCCATCGTCCCTTCTCCTCCATTCTCCTCTCGGGATCTTGGGCACACATGCACACGCACCCAATGTGAGTTTAAGCCACTGGTTCAGGGACTCGAACCACGGTCAACTATATGGGAGTCAAGCGACATAGCCATTATGCTAACTGTTGGTCCCTATCCTATTTTCCTTTAACAGGCAAGCACTGTGCATAGTAGGGGTTGAGGCTTTATAGCAAGGATGATGTCTCTTTGACACCAGGACATACTTGTTACCATACCTGTGGTCTAGGCTAGAGAACTGGCCTCCTCTGAGCTATTCAGTGGAGGTCAGGTTAGGGGATAGCACAGTACCCATTTTGCCACCTCCAGGTTGTCTGAGGAACTGCCTTGTAGACTGCATGTGGTGGCAGCGTGAAACTCAGTAATGTTGGCATTCTGCCCTGCCTCCTACAGATGCTGAAGGTCGCCCTTAAGGGCTGAAGAAACTCTGGTGTTAGTGCTTCTGAGGCAAAAACCTTTTGCTACTTCTGGTTCCAGGAACTGGTTTTTATCTGTCTACTTATTGCCAAATATGGGGGTGGCCGAACTCTTGTTTGCTAATTCCCATGCAGTCCACCTGCAAATTCATTTTGACTCCAAAATATATACCTAAGCAGATACAACTGTACTTTTACTGGGCTGCCTTTCCCCATGTGGACACCTAGCTTACTAACAAGCTGACCAAGGTGCTCCCCACAGCCCAGAGCCCCATCCACTCTACAGCTTTGACCAGCCCTGCCAGCCTAGCTCCTGCCCATCCCAGCCCCCCTTCCTCCCCCGCCTCATGTTTGTTCTGTGTGCTTGACTGCTCCACCAGGCCTTTCACCTGCTGCCTAAGGGCCCCACCCTGCACTTCCTGGTCTGGGCAGAGCTGCTACCTTGTCACTCACACCTTGGCTTAAGTGCCACCTTGAAGTAGCCTCCCCAACTACCCAGACTTAATTAGTTGTCAGTTACTTGGAGCCAGGTACAAGATCACCATCTGAGGTATATTTAGGTTCTGCCTTATGACCCTGGCCCAGAGAGAGACTCCTCAGGCTAGAGCTTAGGAAGGGTCTCTAAGCTGCCCCCCAAGTCACACAGTCCCAAGCAGGAGGAAGGCAGTGGGGCATTGAGGAGCTAGTGGTCTTCTTTGCTCCCAGCTAGGGGAGCCTGTCCCACTCCAGGCTCTGTGTTTCTGGGATCATAACTTTGGGAATGGGGGAGCAGGTCTCTTATCCACTCATCTCAGCACCCCTTTTCCGAGGCCTTCTATGATTGGGGCCGAGGCTTTAGAAGGATTTAGCCTAACATTTCCCCTAATATTTAAAAATAAGCTTTTGTAGAAAGAGGAGTGATTACAAGAAACTTCTGCTTCCTTTTTTATTTTAAATTTATTTATTTAAATTTGATCAGAGGGGGACAGAGTGAGAGAGAAGGAGAGAGGGAAAGTGAGAAAGCAAGCCGCCAGATCCAGGACTTGAACCGTGGTCAGCCATGTAGAGTCCAGCACCCTTAATCATCCACTCATCTCAGCACCCCTTTTCCGAGGCCTTCTATGATTGGGGCCGAGGCTTTAGAAGGATTTAGCCTAACATTTCCCCTAATATTTAAAAATAAGCTTTTGTAGAAAGAGGAGTGATTACAAGAAACTTCTGCTTCCTTTTTTATTTTAAATTTATTTATTTAAATTTGATCAGAGGGGGACAGAGTGAGAGAGAAGGAGAGAGGGAAAGTGAGAAAGCAAGCCGCCAGATCCAGGACTTGAACCGTGGTCAGCCATGTAGAGTCCAGCACCCTTAATCACCACACCACCTGCCAGCCCCTCTGCTTCCTTTTTTAAAGCCTGAGATTTCATTGTGAACGTGTGTTTTTTGTTAGTCAAGATGTGTGGAATTGCTAACATCTGGTCGTTCTCATACCCTGGCCCTTGACATTGGGTCTCACTTGGCATTGTCCCAGTCAGGCTGTGGGCCTGCAAGGGTCAGCATCCTACTTTGCAGGTGACCCAACAGGAAGTTGAGGAACTGGTTTGTGGTCACATGGAGGGGTTGGCTCCCAGGCCCTTGTAGGAATATGCTACTGGTGGCTCCGGCAATGTCCTGTTGAGCCTCAGGGAAGGGCTGAGGCCCATCTAGCCAGGGCAATTGTGTGCCAGGTAGTGGCTTTACCCTCTGACCCAGGCAGAAACCGCCTCTTCCCTTGAGGCCATAGCTAAGAAGTGGCAAGGATTCAGGGAGTGGATGCCCTTTCACTTGCCATGGCCTGAGAACACCTCCCATGGGATGAGCCGGTTCCACTGGCTGAGGAACGGCCAGCAAATGCTAGAAGCCACATCATCTGTGCGCTTGCGCCGGCTAGTAGGAGCAGAGGGCCCGGCAGTGAGCTCAGTGAAGAGCAGTGACTTGAAGTTCGACCTCTTTGCTGCAAAAGGTGATCCGAGAACTTGTTTTTTTAAGTAGAAGATTAGGCAAGAGGATTATATAAACAATAAGAAAACTATGTTTTATTTTGTTTCATATAATTTTTTACTTGGTTGTTTTTATAAGACCTTTAATAAGTTACTTTACGGATATGCTTTGCTTTCAGTTTTGAGGAAGCAAAAACTTGTTTTATAGGGAGAACGTTAGTGGGGCAGGGCTGCATCAACTTCTGTTGTGACCGAGTCCCATGATTACACCAGCCATCTTCTGGAAAATAGAGGCTGTCTCAGGGCCTGCGGGTATGATCTGTGGCTGGTGATGAAGTTCAGAGAGGATGTCATGTGTGCCCTCTTACCTCGTAGAGCCGCCTGGAAAGGGTGAGTGCTGTGGCCAGCATCTGATTTCACAAGTGATGGGAAGAGGTGTGATATCTGCTGCCATGATTAGCAGTTTGTATCATGGTTTTGAAGGTTATTAGGGAGACTGTCCAGTTCTCAGGGAAGTTAGTGCCCTGATAGGCATGGCTGGCAGCAGGTTTCTGGATTGAGGAACTTGAACCAGAAAGGGAAGTCTTTCTGCTGGCTTTACTGCCATTTTAAGAACTTGCTTTGTGGGACCAGCAGGTGGTGTGGAGGTTAAGGTGGCTAGATCCCACATGGCTGACTGCACAGTTCAAGTCCGGAACTGATGGCTTGAAAATCATGCCTGGTCTGTGTGTGTGAGTGCCCCAAATAGAAGATTTTGTGGTGTGGTCATCCCTGCCAGAGGATGATTTCTCACTTTCTCTCTCTGTCTCTCTTCAGTGAGTACACACATCCTATGCCAAAAACCTAAAAAATGTAAAAAAAAAAAAAAAAAAAAAGAACTTGCCTGGTTGAGTTGAGCTAGCTCAGCATGGATGTTAGAAGTTGGGCTGGGTGACTTGCACAGTTTGCACAGTGATGGGAAGCATGGCTCAGTAGGCTGTTGACGCAGCACCTGTTACACAGTAGGCAGGGTCTGAGCCAAACCAGGGGCCTGGACACTTGCCAGGTTGTTGACTTTTAGACCAGTGCTTTATACTACCTCCAGGTTGTGTGAGAAACTACCTTAGTTCACCTTAAAGATGAACTAAGCTCACCCAGTGGTGTAGTGATGTCGGCCATACACAGCATGGACAAAGCACAAAGCTTTTGTCCTGTGTGGTCCTGGGCAGAGTCCCTGAGTCCTCTGGTTTGATGTTTGTAAGAAGACTAGCATCTTCTTTGGGCATGGGTGGCCAGGGGCCCAAGCAATGAGCAGCTGACTTTAGTTTTTTCTTATTTGGTTCTGTGAATAATCTTTATTCCAAAGGTGCCACCAGAAAGCATGGGAAAGGGACCAAATGATCAATCATATGTAAAGTCAGGGGCTGCAAAAGTGAATGGTGCATGTGGTCAGTCAGCATGGTGCTCAAGCCATGCAAGACAAGGTCTTCTAGTCAGGATGAGCCACCAAGAGGGGCAACAGTAATTCTGGAACCAATTGACCCTAACCTGGGCCAGCTGCAGAGGACTGCTGACATGACCCTCAACCATCAGCCTCATGGTGATTGCTTTCGCATGACTCTATCCAGGAATTCAAGATAGATAGATAGATAGATAGATACATACATACACACACACACACACACACACACATATATATATATATATATATTTTTTTTTTTTTTTTTGAAGAGTTTTTTTCTCCCATGCGCTCGCCAGAAAGAGAGACAGAAAGCGAGAAATCACCCCCCAAGGAGGATGGCCATGCCGCAGTCCCGTCTCCTCCATTCTCCCCATGGGATCTTGGGCACACACACACATACACACGCACACACGCCTGGTGTGAATTTAAGCCACTGGGTCCAGGACTCGAACCATGGTGGACTACATGGGAGTCTAGCGACATAGCCATTACACCAACTGCTGGTCTCTCAAGATATACTTTTAAGGACTTTTTTTTTCTTTTCCAAGTCATCTGACTTTTTCTTCTAGGGAATGATCACTGGTCATGTGAACTCTTCTCTCCTCTCCATAGGCACATTCAGGACCCTGCAAGCCAGCGGCTGACATGGAACAAGTCTCCAAAGAGTGTTCTTGTTATCAAGAAGATCCGTGATGCCAGCCTGCTGCAGCCATTCAAAGAGCTCTGCATGTACCTCATGGAGGCAAGCCAGGGCGCGGCTGTCAGAAATGAGGGTGGGCCTGGAGAAAGGAGGGGACAGAGTGTGGTGGACATCTGTGGACATCACTGCTCTGTGAAATACTGAGATCCTACTTTAGTTACTAGAAAATGGACCCTTGTCTGAGGCCACAGAAGCAGGACCAAACCAGCCTACTCAGGTATCTTAAGTCCATTTTCTGTTGCTATATTGCAGTGCCACAGATTAGGTAACTTATAATGAACAGAAATTTATTGGGTTGCAGTTCTGGAGGCTGGGAAGTCCAAGATCGAGCTGGCACCTGGCAAGAGCCTTCTTGGTTCATCATCATATGGCAGAAGGGCAAAGAGAGAAAGAGATAGAGCACATGGGGCACACTTGAGTGGGGGCAAACCCACTCCCACAATGACAGCATGAATGCATGCATAAGGGTGATGCCAGCCTGCCTCATGATTAATCAACTCTTTTTTTTTTTTTTAAGAATTATTTTATTTAACTTTTATTTATTTGTTTATTTATTTAAATTTGACCAGAGAGGGAAAGATGGAAAGAGAGAGAAAGTAAGAAAGCGAGCTGCAGGGTCCAGGACTCAAACCACCGTTGGCTGTGTGGGAGTACTAGAAAATGGACCCTTGTCTGAGGCCACAGAAGCAGGACCAAACCAGCCTACTCAGGTATCTTAAGTCCATTTTCTGTTGCTATATTGCAGTGCCACAGATTAGGTAACTTATAATGAACAGAAATTTATTGGGTTGCAGTTCTGGAGGCTGGGAAGTCCAAGATCGAGCTGGCACCTGGCAAGAGCCTTCTTGGTTCATCATCATATGGCAGAAGGGCAAAGAGAGAAAGAGATAGAGCACATGGGGCACACTTGAGTGGGGGCAAACCCACTCCCACAATGACAGCATGAATGCATGCATAAGGGTGATGCCAGCCTGCCTCATGATTAATCAACTCTTTTTTTTTTTTTTAAGAATTATTTTATTTAACTTTTATTTATTTGTTTATTTATTTAAATTTGACCAGAGAGGGAAAGATGGAAAGAGAGAGAAAGTAAGAAAGCGAGCTGCAGGGTCCAGGACTCAAACCACCGTTGGCTGTGTGGGAGTCCAGTGCCCTTAACCACCATGACACCTGCCCTGATAATCAACTCTTAAAGATCCTGCCTCATTATTGTCACAATGCCAGTTGAGTTTCAAAATTACACACCTTCAGACCATAGCACTAGGTCTGACCTTACGAATAAGGTCAGAAAGCTCACAATGAAAAGAGGTCTTCCGTGATAACCAAGCATCTGGCAAGATGGGCTCTGCATAGGAATGGAACACACGGGAACTGGCCTGCCGACCAGGAAGACATAATAGTGTTTCTTCCCTTATCACAAAATGCAAAGGCCTAAGCTTTTCAAAAGACCAGCATGTCCCATACTGGGAGTTGGCAGAGCCGATGGGGTTTCCCAGACTCACATGCTACCTTGCTTTTAGGAGAACAACATGATTGTGTATGTGGAGAAGAAAGTGCTAGAAGACCCTGCCATAGTGAGTGATGAAAACTTTGGACCAGTGAAGAAGAAATTCTGTACTTTCCGAGAAGGTGGGTTGCCTTTTAGCTCTGTCAGGTAGTTTATTGGACATAGTTCCCCATTCCTGATGGAAGCTTCTAGCATTCTTGCCCTTGTCATTGGTATCTGCACTATACCATCAAGAGGGCTACCATGTGACCAGCCTTTCCCTGTTTTGGTTGTGTTTTCTAGATTATGATGACATTTCCAATCAGATAGACTTCATCATATGCCTGGGAGGAGATGGGACCCTACTTTATGCTTCTTCACTTTTCCAGGTGATGCTCTAACATTTTGATACTAAAATGGTTTATAGTCTAGGGGCAGTAAGTATAAGGAGGTACTTTCAGAATGTGAGCTTTCATCTCTTTCCTTTTTAAAAGGAATGTTTGTATTTATTCTATGAGAGAAATAGAGATATAGCACCTTTGACAGGGTTGGATGCCACAATCCAGTCCCAGCTTCAGCCAGCTCAGATTATGGGCACACACCTGCCTGATATAATCAGGGAAGTTTCTGGACATGAACTGGTAACTTTCCCATGTGGGTCCACCTCATAGAGAGTGATTTTACTGCTGCTTCACTGTCCGCCCCACCCCTCTCTCTTTTCTTTTCATCTTGTAGCTTCATACTATAGGATTGAGGAGCTTTTCAATGTTCTTACTTTGATATAGACTGATTTTTTTTTTTTCAGTTCAATTATTTAGCAAATAATACCAAGCAATACATCTACTGATGGTTGCTTTGAGGCCATTGCAGGCCAAGTATTTCTGTCCTCTATATGAGCTGATTGCCAGTGGAGCATAGGTCAGGACTCAGTGGAGAAAAGCAAGTGGAAGAGAGGAATGGGGACCTTGGAGAACTCATCCTGGGCCAGGGTGGCTGGAGAGCCACAGATAACTGCATAGGAGAGTTGGTCCCATGAGGCCGAGGTGGGGTGAGGCCCAGGAGGAGAGCCTGTCATGGAATCCCCAGTAGGAGTGAAGATTGACTAGAGAATGCAAGCCTCATCTGTGCAAGGTGGGACTGAGCCCAGAGTGCATTAGAGGGTCAGATCTGGAGGCCTGCCGAGTGGCCTGGTGAGATATGAGGACAGGGCCTGGCAGGCAGTGTAGATGGCCTGCAGTGTTGGGCAGGGACTACCAGGAGCCCACCTAGGAGAAAGTAAGAGGTTTAGGGGACCAGCAGTTAGCATAATGGCTATGTTGCTGGACCCCCATGTAGTCGACCGCGGTTCAAGTCCCAGACCAGGCGGCTTAAACTCATGCCGGGCGCATGTGCATGTGTGCCCAGGATCCCGAGAGGAGAATGGAGGAGAAGGGATTGCGGTGTGGCCATCCCCCGTGGGGGGGTGATTTCTTGCTTTCTGTCTCTCTGTCTGTCTCTGTCTTTCTGGCGAGCACACACGCCCTATAGCAAAAACCTCTCCAAAAAAAAAAAAAAGAGAAAGTAAGAAGTTTAGGGCATAGGCTTCCCCTACCCCTCCCTCTGTGAATTCTCTTTGCTCTCAGCAGAAGCAGCTATCACCATGGGGCCACAGAGCCACCCTGTTTAAGAGACTCTGACTTATGCTCTCAGCCTCTTTGATGTAGGCACTCTCCAGGATTGTGGCTGGTCCACCCACCCTCCCTCCCCATCATTTCTACCAAATACACCCCCTGCTTCCCAGAGTCTGCCAGCTATGGTCTTCTAGGTCAGATGCTTGCCCTTTCCTGTCCTCTGCCCCACAGGTTGGTCTGGGTCTGTGTTATTGCTGTTGTTTCTCAGTGACTTTGTCCACCACCACTCCCTGTTGCCCAGCCTGCTAGACTCTTGGTTGTCTAACCTGGACCTGGCCTAGAGCATCCCCCTCCACATCCAAGGGTCCCTTACCTGGAATACCACATTCAGGGGATTCTTTTCCTGGAACATACCCCATCTGTATCCAGAGGGTTCCTCGCTTGGAATATCCCCCTCAACATTTGGGGTGTCTTTCACCTCACTGCCTGGCTATGACCATCCCACCTTGCACTGACCCTGTGCTTGTTCATGTGTACCTGCTCTCTTTTGGGGGGAATCAGGGGTATCAGCATCACAGAACTGAGTCTCCACAGACAGAATGCCAAGGTCTGGTTTGCTATCGACAACTCGGATGGGTCACTAAGTGATCTCTCTCCATCGACCCACAGGGCAGCGTGCCTCCGGTTATGGCATTCCACCTGGGCTCCCTGGGCTTCCTGACCCCATTCAACTTTGAGAACTTTCAGTCCCAAGTTACTCAGGTGATAGAAGGTGAGTTGGAATGTTTTGGAACCCACAAACAGCTCTGAATATGAGATTGCCCTCTAGCTTGGTTATTTTTTTCTGTCTGTTACTTAATGATGCATAGAACCACAATTCAAAGTTCTAGGATCAACAGGTTTCTAAATATTGAACAGTTCATACATGTTTTGCTAACACTGAGAAGTTTTGGCAGATCACAGGTCAAAGCTAATGTGTGTGTTTGGTAGAAGTGAACTGATTTTCATAAAAAGTGTACAAGTATGGCTCTCGGCTGGGGAGAACAAACGGGGAGTCCCTGCTTCCCCAGGAATGGGGCACCTTGAGCCCTGCTGACCTTCCCTGGGGTGGGCCCTGCAGGGAATGCAGCTATTATTCTCCGGAGCCGGCTGAAGGTCAGGGTGGTAAAGGAGCTCCGAGGGAAGAAGGTGGCCATCCACAACGGGCTCAGTGAGAACGGTGTGCCGGCTCCGGGCCTGGACACGGAGGTCGGGAAGCAGGCCATGCAGTACCAGGTCTGTGGACACCTTCACACTGGGCCTGGCCTTGCCTTTCCTGTCTTGTGGCCATGGGGAGGGACACTGAGGTGGGGTTAACTTGGGGCTGGATCCCTGGAGAAGCCCTGGCCTGAGTGTGGACTGGTTTTGCTGTCCCCTGCAGGTCTTGAACGAGGTGGTGATTGACAGAGGCCCCTCCTCGTACCTGTCCAATGTGGACGTCTTCCTGGATGGACATCTTATTACCACGGTGCAGGGCGATGGTGAGGCCCAAGTACTGTCCTGGGGCCCTGAGCATCCTGCATGAGTAGAGAGTGATACTACACCCTGTCCCCATCAGGAGTGATCGTGTCCACCCCGACGGGCAGCACTGCATACGCGGCCGCCGCTGGAGCCTCCATGATCCACCCCAATGTGCCGGCCATCATGATCACGCCCATCTGCCCCCACTCGCTGTCATTCCGGCCCATCGTTGTCCCTGCAGGGGTCGAGCTAAAGGTCAGAACCAATGCCTGTCTCTCTTTTCTGGTTTGTCAGTCATTTGACCCTGTGCTGCTGGGACCACATGTCCCGGTCTTCATTGGTGACTGCTGGCTGTCCCTGGGCCCCCTCTCATACAAGCCCTGTCTTGCTGGGTCCCTGAGCTCTGCCTCTCACAGCACCCAGGATCTTAGCTCAGAAGGAGCTCCATACCATCTGTCATTTGTCTCTGGTGGCACCCTAACACGGAGCTCTCTGCCTGCATAAGGTGGGGATAATCTACATTGGAGGGGATAGGGTGAGTGGCTGCAGGTGAGGGAAGACCCTGGCCTGGTCATCTCCCCACTCTAGGGCTCCTGTCCTGGCATCTGTCCTGCCTCATTGTTCTCAGCTTCATCCTCAACTTCCATCCCTCTAGAGCCTGTGGCACCCAGACCCCCCAAGTGCCATGGGCTCCCCTGTGTCATGTTGTCTTCATTCCTCTTTACTTCAAGCTCCCTACAGGCCAGTGTTTCCTTGGCCATGAGCCCTGGATGCAACAAGAGTTCTGGTCAGCACCAATAAAGTTCAGAGTTGCCCGATGCTGGGGCCTCTGGCAAGCACCCAGGGGTGGTAGCTGTGAGGGGTGCGTTCCCCCACGGCCCAGGGCCCATACCCATTCTCACTTGACCCCTTCAGATCATGCTGTCACCAGAAGCAAGGAACACTGCATGGGTGTCCTTTGATGGACGGAAGAGACAGGAGATCCGCCACGGAGACAGGTACTTCACTCGGGGTTGCCTTATGGATGGAAGCCTAGAGCAGGCCCAGGGTGGGTGGGCTCCTTCCCAGCACCTAGAGGGCACCACCTCATGCCTTCCTCCAGGACAGGCTGCCTGGCCCCTTAGTCCCAGGTAATCAGAAACCTGGGACCAAGCCACAGGGTGAGGCACATGAGCAGTAACAAAGCACACCTGAGATTGCCCAAGGCCAGCATCGGGTGCAGAAGCCACCACCCTTTTCTGAGGAGCCAGGTCCAAAGGGGCTTCTTACCGTTGGGATTGGGTAAGATCCTGGGGGGGGGAGGGGCGTCCTGGCCTGGGCACCCAGGTTGAGTGCTGCTCAGGCCAGTTCTGGAAGGTGCCATGGGCTAACCTGTGTCATGTTGTGTTTTTTGCCTCAGCATCAGCATCACTACCTCTTGCTACCCGCTCCCTTCCATCTGTGTTCGAGACCCCGTGAGTGACTGGTTTGAGAGCCTCGCCCAGTGTCTACACTGGAACGTTCGGAAGAAGCAGGCGCACTTCACGGAGGAGGAAGAAGAGGAGGGGGAGGAGGAGGAGGGCTAGGCCATGGGCCTGCCAGACTCATGGACCTGGGAGTCTCAGATCCTCCCAGGTCTGCATCTTCCTTTGCTGCCTCCCTCTTCCCCTCTGGGAACAGACCAATCTCTGTGTGAACACATGTCGCAAATGGTCACAAACTCCTGCAGGCCGTAGTCATCAAATCCCTTCCTGTGTGTAGCCAGGAAAAGTCTGGATCTGCCTTTTGTCGACCAGATCACCTGTTTTTTAACATTTTTAAATTGACTTATTTTTGCATTTCTAAAGAAGAAAAGTGAGAAACAGGCTGGGGGCTGGTCCTATCAGTATACCCTCATTGGTCAGCTCAGAGCTGCATGGGCTCTTGGTAATGCCACATCAGGAAACTTTTCAATAAATCAGTCTGTTGAAATTCAGAAGGGGTCAGACTGAGTCAGTCTGTCCTCTGGTGTTGAAAATAAATGTCTCAGCCAAAAATCTTCCTTTAGCTGCAATGCTTTCCCCTCGGGCCTGTACCTTTTCCCTTAAACTCTTGGAGGGAACCAGGCCAAGACTCAATTACAGAAGCAGTTTTTCTGTGGATTGGCCAGGTAGATTTGTTCTGCTCCCGTTTCTAGAGATGGGTGGATGCCTCCCTTCTCCTCCCCTCCCTGCTCAGAATTAGCCTTGAGTCAGGCTGTCCAGAGGCCCCTGGCTCCCTCTTCCAGAGCCTAGCGAGGAGTTAGGGAAGGGAGGCAGCACAGATAGACACACACATTCCTCACACAGCATGGTGGGCAGCTCGGCTCCAGGAAGATATTTTAAATCCTGTATATACTTTTTAGAGATTCTTTTAACCTTTCTGAAGTGCTTATGTACATATTTTCTTGTACACACTTTTGTGAAGATCTAAAGGGGGGGAGGTCTGTCCTGTCATTTGGTGTTTGCCTTTGTGTTCTGTGGACACTGTCCTGGGACCATTCTGTCCAGTCGCGTGTGCCCTCTGTCGGGCTGAGGGTGCAGGAGAGAGAGCGGTGTTTCAGGGTTGAGTGAGCTCGTTCATTTGCAACTCTAGTGAGAATTTCAAACACATTCATTAGAGGAAAATGGCAAGGGAATAAACGGTCAATTCCACCCCTGCTGCTCCTTGATCTCAGGCTTGCACTGAGGAGTGTGTGTGAGTGTGTGTGCACACTACGTCTCGGGCAGCACACGTGTCTGCCATGTGGGACCCAGAGCCTACGGAGTCTGGTCTGAGCTGGGGCTCAGCTTGATTCCAAACAGGCGGGTCGGCCTCCTGGTTCCTGTTGCCCAGCAGGGCATCCTAAATGCACAGTCAGTTTATGAGTAACTGCTCTTTGAGTTTTACTCAGAAAGTTGCATTTTCACCTGTTAAATTGATAAAAACAGGAGGGGATGAGCCCCTGCCTTTCTTGGACTTGCTTCTGAAGGTCATGTGTGCGAGGCCATCCTTTGTCTATCTGGAGCTTCACTCGCGGGGGGTCTTGTGCCCTGGACTGTCCATGGCCCTGCCCACTTGGGTGCGTGGCTCTGAGGTGCAGCTCATGTTCTCTCTCCTCTTGCTCTTGCCTGGGCTTCTCAGCGTCTGTAGCAGAAGTGTCTGAAAACTCCGAGTGTGATTGTGAGCAACAGGCCTGACCTGGATGCCACTGTCTGAAGTCCTCGGTACCTGTCCTTGTCTGTCGGGGATACTGAGTGCCGGGAGAGCTCTGCCCACCAACCTCCGGGGCTAAGGAGGGAGAGAGGTACGAACACCCACTGCTTTAGGTATGGGAGTGCTGTTTGGAATTCCAGTCACTGCTAAACAAAAAAGCAAGTGTTTAAGTCCTAAAGCAGCATGATGTTGTAATGATCTAGTAAACTTTGGGTTTTTGAAGTAAATTCTTAATGTTTCATATTGTTAATATCTTGAAAATTTGTTAAATGTCGATAGCCTTATTACTATTTTCAGATCCTTTCAATAAACAGACTTGTAAAAAATGTCAAGTAGGTTCCAGCTTTTTCTTGGCCCTTTATAACCAGTGTAGAGATGCTAAGGGGTGCTGGCCCAGACCTCCTGATTCCACGGTGTCCCTCTGCAGACAGAGGGGCCAGTGAGGCCACACCTTCCCTTCAGATGCCTCCCCACATTAAATCCTGTCTCCAGCGTGCTCCTTCGGCCTTACTGTCTATACCAGCAGGTCTTAGGGTTGGCCAAGTATCCTCCCCAAAAGAACATTGTGATGTCTCAGACTGGGATGCAGAGAAGGAGGTACTGTCGAGGGAGGAAAAGCAGAGCCCAGTCAGAAAAGATGACATCATAATACCAAGGGGCAAGGCTGAGGTGCCCAGCCCTGTCATGAGCCCTGTAAGGGATGGTGCCATCACCTCAGGGCATTGAGCATGAAGGGGGGGTTGAGTCCCTAGCACCAGGTAGGCTGCAAGGACTTGTGCCAAGGCTGGTGTCTGTCCCTCCCTGGAAGTGGCCTGCTCCGGCCTCACCCCCGCTCAGTCCAGCCCATCCATGTCAGGGCAGCTGCAGGCCAGACAAGTCTATGCTGGCTTCTGGGGATCACGCCCTGGGTACTGTGGGCACCAGCCTCCCTCCTTGCTCCTTCCTCCAGTTACCAAGGCCTCCCCAGGAATAACCAAGATGAATCCAGGGCAAGTCTTTACCAGGAGCCATTCTGGTCTGCGTGTGTGCACAGACCAGGAGGAACCCGGGAGGCACCTGCTCCTGACCCCATCCAGGCAGCCTCCAGGAAAACATAAGCTGAGGGCCTAGCACTGCGCTGCTGGCCCTCCCTGTCGGCCCTCGCAGAACAGTCCTGGGCAGCACAGCCTCCCAGAGTGACCACTGCCCTGCCCCAGGGCCCTCTGCTTGGCTTGTTAGATACAGTATGAGGAACTTCTCTGTGGAAGATGTTTTTACCTCAGGCAGCATGTGTCAGAACCTACCACCTCCCTGCCCTGGTGGCTCTCAGCCTGGCAGCCCGTCTGGTGTAGGACGCAGTCTGCAGCTGGCAGCTAGTGAAGACTCCCGCTGTGTGCTAATCAGAGCACGAGGCTGTGCAGGTCAGTTTTGGCACCCTGGCAATCACATGGGAGAAGCTTCTGTCCCCATAGTGAGGTTTCAGCACCTCAGAGGCCAGCCTCTCAGATGTGAGCCAGTATTCCCAGAAGCCCCCATAGCAGATCTCATCCCACCTGTTAGAGTAGCCAGCTCTTTGGGCCATGAAAGAATTCACAGACTCGGGGGCCAGCAGGTGGCATGGTGGTTAATAACAGGCACTGGACTCTCACATGGCTGCAGTTTGAGTCCAGGACCTGGCAGCTAGCTTTCTCGCTTTCCCTCTCTCTCACTCTGTCCCTTTCTGGTCAAATTAAAAATAAATAAATAAATAAAGTTAAATTAGATAATTTTTTAAAAATTCACAGACTTGGGACCAGCAGGTGGCATGGTGGTTAAGGTGCTGGACACTCCCACATGGCTGACCACGGTTCAAGTCCTGGACCTGGTGGCTTGCTCTCTCACTTTCTTTTCTCTCTTTCTCTCTCTCTCTGGTTAAATTAAAATGAAGGAATGAATAAATGAATTAATAAAAAAAAAATTCACAGACTCAATGAACGGAGGGAAAATTTTTTTCACTTACCAAGAGAGGAAAGGGACTGGATACAGAGTTACATCAACCCTGAAGGGTAGGACCATGAGTTGTTTATTTTTTAGTTATTTTATTTAACTTTATTTATTCATCTATTTCAATTTGACCAGAGAAGGACAGAGTGAGTGAGAGAGAGAGAGAAAGTAAGCAGCCACGTCTGGCACTCGAACTGTGGCTGGCCATCTGAGAGTCCAGCACCCTTAACCACCATGCCACCTGCCAGCCCTGGACCATGAGTTTTTATCGCGTCTTAAGGAAAGGGGGTCAGGATGTCTGCCGGTCTTCCACAGCACCTGGGTTGTTGAGTTGTCATCTCAGGGTGTCATTAATTCTGGTGCCAGCCGTGGAGGCATATAACAATCTTTTTTTTTTTTTTGGAGAGATTTTCACTGTAGGGCGCGTGCGCTCGCCAGACAGAGACATAGAGACAGAAAGTGAGAAATCACCCCCCAGGGGGGATGGTCACGCCGCAATCCCTTCTCCTCCATTCTTCTCTCGGGATCTTGGGCACGCACGCACACGCGCCCGGCGTGAGTTTTAAGCCACCGGGTCTGGGACACGAACCGCGGTCGACTACGTGGGAGTCCAGCGACATAGCCATTACACTAACTGCTGGCTCCCAGTATATAACAATCTTTATGTCTAAGACAAAAATTAAAAAGAAAAAAAAAAGGTAGATCATCTGTGATGAAGTCATGAAAGGGCCAGCTGACTTAAGAGAGGGGGCGTTAAGAAAGAATAAAGAAATTTTAAAATGCCTGAGAGGGGCTGGCAGGTGGCGGGGTGGTTAAGGCACTAAGGCACTGGACTCCCACATGGCTGACCACAGTTTGTATCCTGGACCTGGAGGCTTGGCTTGCTTTCTCACTTCCCCTTTCTGTCTCTGGTCAAATTGAAAAATAATAACAGGGACCAGCAAGATGGCATAATGGTTATGTCACTGGATTGCCACACAGTTGACCGTGACTTGAGTCCTGGACCTAGCGACTTGAAACTCATGCTGGGTACGTGTGCATGCGTGCCCAAAATCCCAAGAGGAGAGTGGATAAGGGATTGTGATATGGCCATCACCCCTGGGGGATGATTTCTCACTTTCTGTCTCCCTGTCTCTGGCAAGCACATGTGCCCTATAGCAAAACTCTAAATAAATAAATAAATAAATAAATAAGAAATAATTCTTTAAAAAAATAAAAAGCCTGAGTAAAGAAAAAATGCCTGAGGTACTGGGAGACACAGAATTCAACTTTTTTTTTTTTTTTTTTTTTTTAAGAATTTTTTTTTTTGGGGGAACCAGCATTTAGG